ACACACATGTCAATATAAATCATATTTAAACAGATAATGTTAACAGTTCTCTGGAGCAAACAAACCTTACCTCTGTTATCAAGGGCATTCATTACAATGGTAAATTGCTTGAAAAAATTCATACCATATTCAGGTCTGAAATCAAAGATAATATCATAAAATCAATTCTCAAGCAATTTAAGATATAATTGAGATAATTAAGCTCCCACGTTACTATGGTTTCCACATTACTTTGAATGATAACATTGTGCTAAATGTTGCTAAACTATCTCCATTGTTTTGTAATTTGAAATACTCCATACTCAATCACGTAACATCAAAAAGATAGTTTATAAAACAATCACGCTGAACTAGACTTGATGTCTAGATTAGACGAGACATGGAAACAATGGTAACTATTTGCAAAAATTAATTTAGCTCATTTAAATATGTTATTGTTAATGAATGCAATACAGATTTGCCGATGTTGTAGTATGATATTTTGGCTTTGATTTTGATGGGAAAACTGCATGATTTTTTTAAATCAAGAAATTAGTTATTTTCAAAAGATAAACTGAGCATTTGAAAAATAATTTAACTTTGTTTACGGTGGTAACAGCTTATTGATGAAACATAGCTCAACCATCCACAATAAACATTGTCAATAGTGGCGTTCACATTTGAGATCTCGCAGTCTCGGCATGTGTCGAAACCTAGGGCCGAGTCGGCACACATGCCGAAAAAACCCTAACATGCCGGTCCCTAACATGTGCCAAGATTTGCTGCCTGAGCGCTCGGCACGAGCCAAAATCACGCCCCCAGTGGTGAATTTAAGAGAACATATTCTGACTCATACTAGTATGACATGTCAATGGTGGGAGGGGAAGTGCAGCTATATATGGTAGGATGCCGTAGTAATGAATGAAATGTATGCATAACATTGTCGGCAACGCATATTTATGTGCTGCTGCAATGTGCTGCAGTGTTTTGCAATCCTACATCGTCATGAAAAAATAATTGTTTTTCGAACTTTCTTTGCACGACAACTCAGAATAAATACCATAACAGGAAATGGATATAATTTCAATATAGCAATTGTTATTATCATATGCGTATCGTTTTCCATGTTTGGGACAAATAACAGATCGAAGAATGAGGGCGTAATTTCAGCACAGGACGAGTCGTTCCAAAGTGGGCCCAACTAACGTGAATGCAACTGCTGTAATCCTTCTACAAACACAAAGGATTACAAATTTCGACAGGTGCCGAGATCCCTTAACATGAACGTTCCAATTGACTACGGTGAAACTTAAATTAGACTCTATTTCAGGTGTCAGGAAAGATTGAAATGTTCGAAACTGACACCTAAATCAGAGATTTTTTTTACGGTAATCACAGTCACTGTAGTGAGTATGTACTTTATTATTGTGGGTCAGGAATGAGTGTTGTTTTGATTGGGGTATTGTGTTTAACATTCCAATGTGAAAGTCAAACAGAACATTTTCATGCAGTTTTAATTAATTTTGCGCTTTTGCACTTGAGATCACGAAATTGAAACCATGCAAATATTTTCTACTTGTACAGTAATGAATAACATATTAGGATAATGAAGATTTGACCAAACATTTATTTCGGTTATTAATTTGTCACCATTATGAATGGTGAGTTGAAATCAAGACTTACTTCATAATACTGTCATGATAGGCAATGATGTCCACATCAGGGTTGAAACGAAGAGCACTATCTTTGGCAACCTGTAAAGAGTGAATAATTTGTACAGTCACAGAAATGGATGATGTCACTAGCTACATCTGTCATTGATAACTTGATACTTGATTTAATATTTGATAATATCTAATTATAAAACCGTTAAAAAAACACAAAAAGATTACCTGGGCTTTTGATTTGCCAACATGTTTCTTCTGAAAAAGGAACTGTCGATTGAGATTACTCACATCAATAGTGTCCAAGTCAATCTGAAAACCCAACAATAAAATGTGAATTTTACAAATACTGGGCGACTTGGGAACAAATGTTTAAGTCATCCGACATTGATAAGATAAGCTATGTATCAGTGTAAGTATGTGAAAAAGAAATTCCCCGATTCTCACAGAATTATCATCACTGGGGAATGATTTACATCAATCTTCTGATTCTAATAAGCAATCCATCTAAAGCCTGACAAAAATTCATGTTTATGGTCATGGCACATCATGTATGAGGTTATACTGCAGTAGCAACATTTGATTTTCAACAATGAGATTTTGAAATGAATGACGAAAATAAAAATCTTAATTTCAGTTTGAGACTGTTAGGGTATACTGTCAGTTATTTGCACAGCGAGTCGGTGGCCACTGACCCAAAGAAAATAATAATAGATCAAAGGCAAGTGAAATCCACAATGTTTTCAGTCAGTTATCTTTCCATGCTTCTTCGACATGATCTCGTGGGTGGCCTGCAATGCACACTATAGAACAGTAGAACATTGTCTGTAATGAAATTTAGTACCGGGGTAACAGTTGTCTCTCTGAAAATAAGAGTTCGGAATAAGGTTGGGGAACATCCGAGTGATTTTCTGGTGTATTTTATATTTTGAGACAACAAGTGGAGATTCTTGCATGATTAGACATCAAATGTAACGAATACAAAACAATGTCCCCGTCTCTGTGTGACTTATCAATCATTCATTATTCAAAAGTGTTATCCCTATTTCAAAATTGTGCAGTGTTTTATTCCCGTAAATTTGTTAACAATGCGATCCACTTTAAATTTATTAGACGGTGTATACCGCAATGATTACAGAATCTTGGCATGTTTCTTTCAGAAATTTCACTAATGCTCGGACAGCTGATCTTGATCTCTCATTCCTATTTGATGAGAGCAGTGATATACTCAGTGTCAACAATTTGTTTGATTTCATTTTAATTAGCCACGAATCAGGTAGCTTGGCTTTAGTATTAGAAAATGACGTCATGTGTGAAATAAACATGTGTTAATCTATAAGAAATTAAAAAGTGTGCGTTGAAACAGAACTGACTAGTAAATAGTGGTAACATTGTAAGTTTGAGCTCGTCACTCGTCATCTGTTATTATTCGTTGTTGTGCTTGCTGTCGAATGCACAAATAATCGAAAAGTGATTCAAAAAGATGAAACATTTAAAAATAAAGATAAGGATTTCGATTTTTGATGTTCAATTCAAAATCTTATTGTTGAATAACTAAATGTGCCACTACAAGAATAATTGAAGACATAAGTAATCAAAATGGGCATATACAATAGAATTGGGCTCAAAGGTTAGATTATGAGTTAGGGAAAGAGATGGGGCAAAATGGAAAGTCTTTCCGAGGTCTTTCCCGGGCAGAGACAGAGCTACATCACGATCCCCAAACATTGCCTGGACCAATCACAAACAACAAAAGACAATAAATTTACGGATTAATTAACACATCTGTTTTCCTCCACGCTTACCAACTTTCCCCCGCGCTAACGAAAAAATCTTTTGTCTTCCATTGACTTCCTGTTCTGGTCCGTCTTTGAGAATATAACATTACAGCAAGTCTCAGAAATATTGGGGCAGCCAATTTGCAAACTCGCTTGCGAATTGGCTAACCTGCTTTGGTTTTGACTAAACGGTTGGCTTTCGAATCTCGCTGGCGCTGTCTTGTGGTCACGCCCACTTTGGGTGAATCTATATAACAGTAGGGACCCTGGTAGAAGCTAGCCAGCGACAGCCTCACAGTTAGATAGCGATTTCGCTTTCAAATATACCAGGGAAAGTGTTCTGTGTTCTTAGTGTAATGCAGCGATGTCGAATTTTATTTGCGGTTGGCTTAATGTTACCCCCAACGAATCGTTTGGATGTGAAAGTTTGTTTTCTCCCTGATTTGTAGGAATCTGTTTCTCAACTTGTCTTTTTATTTAGTTTCAATCAGTGTTCAAGATGGCTACCCCATATCAAGATGGCATACTCCATCAAATTAGTCTGCAGGTAGTTTTAATGCAATGGCATATTTAGTAGCTTAGTAGTTTTATTGTTATACTAATTTTCATGTATTTTTTCCTCCATTCTTAGTTACATGTATTCAATGTTTTATTCGTGATTCTGGTGGATTGAATTGTACTTCCGTCTTGCTTTGTACATGTACTAAACAATAACATTAGCTTATGTTTAATGTGCTATTTGTGATATTAGTTATGTTAAGTATCATTTCTGTTCTTGTTTTACAACCATAAAATTACTCTCTGTAGTAGATTTTCGTGTTGAATAAAAATTATTAAATTATTAATATATATATATATAGTAAATATCGGTGGATTAATCGCTTATCATATTATTACTTGTAAGTCAGCTGACTGTGGCTATTCTCAGACCAGACCAGGAAAACTACTTATACATTATTACGCCTCGCAAAGCAAACGATTCAGGGGAATCCAAACATGTACCTGGCTACGTACGTAAAAGCATTCTATTTTATTATATGTCCCCTAATGCAATATAGGCTCGCTCAGAGTGAACACGACCACGAGTCGGCGCCAGCGAGATTCAAAAGCCAACTGTTTAGTCAAAACCCAAGCAGTTAGCCAATTCGCTAGCGAGTTTGCAAATTGACTGCCCCAATACTTCTGAGACTTGCTGTAAGTGAAAGGATGTTTTTTCTTCACCACGATTCATTTATAAACAAAGTCACACAGAGAGAAAAAGGTTCACACGTGTTTTCAGCAAAGCACATAATACCCAGCGGAATCACTAACCACATGTATGCTTTGGAATCCAGTCAGCACTAAGTTCTTGATTAGCTCGCAGCCTATCCCACCAGCTCCAACAACGAGAATTTTACCACAGGAGACGCGCTCTCCAAGATCTTTGGACAAAACCCCACTCACAGCAGCCGCCATATTAGATATGTCACTCGAGGTCAATAAGTCGCCAGATATTAATTAGCGGGTAGTGAAAACGGAGATATTATAAGTCAAGATGCAAAAATATATCATAAAATATAATAAGTATCTTATCAAGCAAAATAATTACTAATTATATATTTAATAAAGCGCAAACGGACAGAACAAAAAAGCATGAAAACACATACCCAGAAAGAGGATAATTTACCCCGGTGCACGACGGGATATCGCGGCAAATTTTAACATGGCGTCGTCAAAAATTAAAGTGAAGGATCTTCAAGATGTTGCCGATAGAGGTATGTATGTCCTGTGACGATATGCATTCGAACTATATATATTTACAATTGCGCGTTAAAAAACAATAATACCGACCTTTATAGAAATTTTTGTGCGCGACCTTTATGAGAAATAAGTTATGATACTGTGTACTTTTCTATTTTATTGTGGTATTTATTTATTTACTTACTGTATCTGTCTGTATGGTTTCCATGGATACACATTTCTCTCACACCTGTTTTCCTAAGTACTTATTTGCATATTGTCCACCTGCATAGCCAGGTGCAAATGTATGCCTAAGTCGAACTTGCTTGTAGTAAAAGAAATGTTTGGAGACTTTAGTTTCACCTTCTAATTTGTCCTCTGTTACTAGTGAATATGAGTTTACCACTTCATGTGACTTCATACGATGTTGAAAACAACCAGGAGTTCACTAAGTTACTGACTGCACTTTCACATAAATTAACAGACACTGGTGTCAGTGTTGAAGTGGAAAAAGATCTGAAGCGGGTAAGAAACTGTTATTCATATAACTTCTAATAGACAATGTGCAGCCAAAATATGAGGATGAGCAACATTTTGTAATGAAATGTCCAGCTTACAGTCATCATAGGGACAAATTATTCCTGACTGCACAAAATAAAGTTCCAAATTTTGATAAAGAACATAGTCAAGATAAATTCGTATTAATTATAGGAAACCGTACTCTAGCACCAGCCTTAGCTGTCTTCTTAAAAAACAGCTATGGAACAAAACAGCAACAACTATCAGTGTATTAGGTTACAATTTGTGTTCTTTCTATATTCTGTATTCACCATTGGTTGCAAATTGTCTTCATTGTTTATTCATATTTGTTTTTTTATTTTTTTTATATTTTTTTTTCATTTTAGATTATAGTTTTTTAAATTTTTTTTTGTAAGACCCTTTTTATCCTTTCCTAAGGATTTTATGCATCTAATAAAGTATTACACAATGTCACAGGGAAAATGTTCAATATAATTATGAACATGTATAGCATGTATAAAACTAACATTGGATTAACAACTGATTTTCTATCAACACCCGGTGTCAAACAAGGCAACTCTATTCAACTTATTCATTAAACGACCTACCAGATAGTTTTGATGTTGACAGTTGTGATAAAATTATACTTTTCAATAAATCAAAAAACTTCTTAAATAACAACATTTTTTTCTACAAAGGTGAAGAAATTAGTACCGTAAAACAGTTTAACTATCTTTGCCTCATTATAACTCCAAATGAAAATTCAACAGAAGTCTAAAATTACTGAAGAAAAAAAGCCTTATAGCAATGTTCATTGTTCTTGTTAAAATAGGCTCAAATAAAAAATTAGTATTCAGCTACAATCGTCACTCTTTGACAAACTCATTCAACCAATCATTGTCCTCGGCTGTGACGTATGGAGTGATGAAAGCTCAATTGATTCCTCCATCGCAGATGTACACCTCACATTCTGAAAACCTCAAAAAATGCACCTAAAATGGTTATTTAGAGTGAATTGGGTAGATATTCAATTCATTGATTCAAAAACAGGCAATTAAATGTATGAACAGAATATCCAACTCCAGTAACACACTCTTATATTAGACATTCTTGGTTTACAGAAGCATGAAAAGCAAGTGGTACATGAAAATGAAATCTATAAAAAAGTATTCTTAATGATGCAAACTACCATGAACTAATAGATTCTCATGATCCAATAGCATCATCAAAATTAATAAATCTTCATATAAAAGTAAAAAATATATTTTCAGTACACTGGAAAAATGAAATGTAGTTTAGAGGATTATTTGACTTTTGTAATACAAATGGATTGGATGATGAAGAGCATTGATTAGATGCAAAGAGTATGAGAAAGAAAAACAAAATTTATTTTGAAAAATAAATTATCTTCTAGCATTACTGTCTCAAACAGCAATAATAATGTAATTTGCTCTATTAGTCTTTTGTATTTTATTGACACTACACTGGCACAGAAAGGGTGTTGCTGTGTGGTGTAAAACTAAAATACAAAATACAACACGACTGAGAATGATAAAACTACTAAAGTGAGAAATAAAAATTAAATATTCAACTCTGCAGTATTAACTTATTCCTGTCGACATTCAATTTGCTTATGCATGGAGGCTTTCAGATGGCCAAGTGTTAATAGAATAATGCTGCAGAAACTGAAATGAAATTAGTGGGGCAACTATTGCACTTTGTAATGAAAATTTGTAACTACAATGCTACGCACATGTTCCATACTAAGTATCATGAAACGTATTCCCTTTTTATTTCTCCCATCAGGCACAAGATAACCTGAAACAAGAGAAACTTGTATTTCTACAGTTACATATCTTACACTTAGAATTACAAGAATTCATAATAGACTATGAGATAAATTGTCTGGATAATTCTGCCAGTACAAAGACTAAACAGGTAAAGAATTGTGTTTGCATGCGTCCAATTACTACCCGGTATACTGTAAAATACTTTATTTTAGCTGGAATTAATTTTTGCTGAAAACACTTTTTAGCGTTTTGTATGGAATTTATTTTCATTGATTTTTGATGGATTTGCTGGATTTTATTTTCACTGAAACATTCCTTCAGCGAAAATTAATTCCAAGTGAAAAGTACTTTACGGAAGTTGTGTAGGTATTCTGCCATAAATTCGACCTGTGCCGTTAAACGACAGTTTGGAGTTTAAAAAAAATAAAATGGGACCAAGAAATTGCCCAGGGCATTTTTTGGCAGTTTTTTAAGGTGTTATTTTAATCTTTTCTGATGCCTAAAAGTTTCACCGTAGACATTGACGTCTATTTAAGAGTATGATGTTTATTGCGACTAGCGTGAATGGGTAAACTTCGTTTCGACAATGAGCTGTTATCACTGTAAACAATGTTAAATTATTCTTCAAATGCTCAGTTTATTTTTTTTATTTAAAAACAAATCATGCCGCTTTCCCATCAAAATCCAAGCCAAAAGATCATACAACATGGGCTTATGCTCAGGATTATATTATCAGATGCCCTGACATTGAACCCACTAAACCAGAAATATTAAATGTCGCAGAAAAATACAATCTATCCTAGAGAGCGAAAATCGAACACTTAGAAACTGGAATATCAAGTGATATACCCAATTTCAGCGAGGGGTTATTGCTACTGTAAAGGGGTTAATTATTCACTGGGTTTTAATTTTGCTTATTTCGATGACTGGAAAATGTGCTAAATTAAAACCCAGATAATATGTAAAATTTAGCATAGAACACATTATTTAAATGATAAAACCGTGAATTTAAAACCAACTGAATATGCCTGAAGTGGTAAATCAGTGAAATTTAAACCCAGTGAAAATTAGTCATTTTACAGTATTATATTATACTAGTATATTGCAAATTTTGTGTTTGGACCAATCAAATCAACAGATTAACACCATCAATATATTGGTATAATATAATTCTAGATATTACATTTGATTTTACAGTTTTATGAGGCAGTTAAGCATTGTTTATCATGTGCTGAAGCTGAAGATTATTTGGACTGTAATCTTTCCTCGACAGAAGACTCAAGTGCAACGTTATTAGGTTTAACATCTGAGGACATTCAGAAGTCAAATCCTCATAGAAAGGTAAGCAGTTATTTAATTTCCTAATGGCTGCTCATTTGCATAACAATATCAAGGATTGAACACATGTGGGCACACTGAGTCAGGTTGTTTTTGAATGAGCATCGACGCAAAACATCATGAATAATTTTCGTTCAAAGAAAGTTGCATACCTTGCAGTAGTGCACAAAAGAGAAAGCTTATTGAACTTGTATAACTTGTTGATGATCTAAATGTTTGTGCTTGGAGCCTGGCGATCATGAAATATTGAGTAAGTGCTTTCATACTGTTACCCTACCATTATTAATTACCAGTATAACGATAACTATTTGGTTGGTAACTGATTTCATAGACAATAGTAAAATGTGGACAAACATCTGAAAGTTTGTTTTCTGCTCTATCGCCCTCAATATGAATTCTGAGCCAAGCGATTTTCTATCCTCTAGTACTTCCTTTTCGTTAAGCCGTTTTTCTTTTCTTGAGTTACATTTCCTTGTGAATGGCGGAATGACAAGTTTTGCATTTAATACTGATAATATTAAAATTGCGATTAGCCATGATTGTATCACCTCATTCAACTACTGTATAATACTTTATTTTCACTTTGAATTAATTTTCGCTATTTTCGCTGAGGGGATAATTCAGTGAAAATAAAATCCAGCGAATATACATTTTTTCCTATGTTTTACATTCAACTTGTCAAAAATCAGTGAAAATAAATTCCATACAAAATGTTTCAAAAGTGTTTTCAGTGAAAATTAATCCCAGCAAAAATAAAGTATTCTACAGTAGTTCAAGAAAACTACTGCTCATTATAATAAATTTGTCTGGCATTTTGAAAAGGATACCGGTACTTCAAACGACAGCGACAGATGTTTGTGTTCTATTTGAGTGGGACTATCGGTAGGTCAGAGAAGAGTTTGAAAAGCAGCTGCCATGAGGTTTTTCAGTTAGTAAAGATTTGAGTCGATCTATTGCCTCCTACAAAACGTGAAGAACAAGTTCTGGAATTATTGTTGGGCTTCTGGTCATCAGTTCGCTGGATCAATGCAGTCCTCTTCATCCTGAAAGATTGATTTTTAGCTAGGAGGGAATGTATGGAAAGTAATGCTTGGAAATCAGGGATATTTTGCCAGATTTTTTTTCTTGCATATGATGTTGTATTAATTCTACCCCACTCTAGATGCCAAACAGCACTGTCATCCGGGTACTTTATTAATTAATATGCCCTGTAACTGTGTTCTTGCGAAACCCGATAATTCAAAAGTCAGGGATTGAAATGAGTTAGAGCCACCCTATAGTATAGTCTGTGAACTCTGTAATACTTTGCCGTGATCTGTGTTTTTCGCCACCTTGTTCATATTTGAAATTATTTTTTGGTATATTGCAGTGTTCAATCAAAAGGTAGTACCGGTACTGTCTTTTTCGCCATCATTTCCCCTCCATGCATTTTCAAAATATCATAACAGCGTTTATCAATTTTAATGAATATCCACATTTGCTTTCTGTAGGATTTACAATCAATACAGCAACAATTAATTCCCAAGATAGAAGACCGATTGCGAAACAAATGTGAGACAGTGGCTGCGTATCACCAACCACAGAAAGATACAGGTACAGGTATTACCCAAATCAAATACGTAGATGATAAACAGATGGCATTGTGTATATTGAGTGTGCCCTAATGCTAGAATCTGAGCCTCTGGTGGTGTGATGCGTTTAAGCGCTACTATGTTTGGCTTTATGTGTATAATATCCCTGCTTTTCAAGTCTGCATATTTATTAGGAGTACAAGACCTTAAAACGCCTGACAAAAATGTTTTACGTTGAATGTTAATCTGTTGAATAAAAAGAGTAAAATTCTTTTTCAATGCTCAGTTTATTTTTAAAAAACAACTAATTTCTTGATTTAAAAATAATCATGCCATTTTCCATTCAAAATCAAAGCAAACACTACAACATCGGTAAATCTCTTCAGTGTTGTGTTCACCATGAAGTAATTCATGGTAATTCAAACACAATGGCACCATCCTGGATTTTGATTGGTTAATTAGCGACTATCAGTCAAAGAACACAGTTTCAGGTCAATTTGTCTATGGAAAAAACATGGCGCTAATCGTATCACATCGGGCATTCACATATGACCAAAATCATTCGCTCACAATGAAACTACTTGTAAGTTGAATGACTTCAATTTCATATTCTTGAATTTATTTTTTTGAACATTGTTATAATCACTACTGAGTACTGATCACAA